AGGGAGAGAGCCTCTAGCTGCGGCTGGTGTGCTGCTGCGGCTGCCCCAGCACCCCACGTTCCGGGGTGAGCTTCAGTGGAGAAAAAAGTAAAGCTCCTACACAGGCAAGACCAAAAGCCCTGTTTTCCTTTGACCTAACCCACTACGTGGTGGTGGTGCTGCCACTAGTGTTGCCACACTGCGGTTACCCCAGGACGCCTTCGAGCGCACTTTGGTTGAAGCAATCAGATCTGAAAGAGGGGTCCGTGGTCTGGCAGGAGGGAGGGGAAGGGGTACCCCAAGCTGGTTTCAGATCCATGAGAACCCGTGTCATCTTCACAAATATTTCTCCACATTCATATCCGTGTGACCTGGTAGCATATGGCCCTTAAATCTCTTCCTGTTCTTTTTGATAATTTACTCTCTGACTTTTGGAAAATTACTTACTATCTGTGTGCTTGTATTTGCCCATCCATAACTTGGGTGTATTAATTAAACAGCTTGCTCAGAGGGACGTTGTGAGGTTTAATGAAATCATGCTTGCAAAGTAATTTAAGATTTCAGATGAAAACTGCTAGGGAAGTGCAAAACACATTATAATAATAACAGAGAAGATATAAAATAATAATAATCAAAAGGCCCTGCAGCTGCTGATCACTGTAAAGGGGGGAATATACATACTTGAAGTTACTAATAAAAACACCAATCACTGTGTTACAAAGTAAGTTTTTTTAGCTACATAGCATTAGTTAATATTATGCTATTTATTATTCCGCTTACTATTTCCAATGTCTTTGTACAGAAAGAAAAATCTATTAAACTGTTTTACTCTGTATTTGTATCAAAAGGAGATCAGCTCTGTGCCCAAAATATGTCAGAAGAGTGTAAAGCCCTGGCATGCTTGTCCGTATGGCTATCTTTACTCGCAGCGTAAGTCTATAGGATGACTCACCTGAGTGAGTGCAGAAGCTTTGGTGGAGTTGGGGCCTTGGCATGCAGGAGCAAAGGAATGAAAAATTGTCCCCTCGCCACAAAAAATGCAGTCCACACAGAGTACCAAATCCTTGGAAAGGAAACAGAAATTGTGTAGCACATGCCAAAGTCTTTTCAGCTATTGTAGATTTAAATACGTAACATGGAAAACAGGGATGAATGTGACCTTACGCACCTCCATAAAATGAAGGTTATCTTTGCCCATGCTGTTGTGGTTTAACCTCAGCTGGCAACTAAGCCCCATCCAGCCGCTCACTCACTTTCCCACGGTGGGATGGGGGAGAGAATTGGAAGGGTAAAAGTGAGAATATTTGTAGATTGAGATAAAGACAGTTTAATAGGGAAAGCAAAAGTTGTGCACACAGGCAAAGCAAAGCAAGGAATTCATTCACTGCTTCCCATGGGCAGGCAGGTGCTCAGCCATCCCCAGGAAAGCCCCATCACGTGTAACGGTGACTTGGGAAGACAAACGCCATCACTCCGAACATCCCCCACTTCTTCTCCCCCCAGCTTTATGTGCTGAGCATGACGTCATATGCTCTGGGATACCCCTTTGGTCAGTTGGGGTCAGCTGTCCCCGCTGTGCCCCCTCCCAACTTCTTGTGTCACCCCCAGCCTACTTGCTGATAGGGTGGGGTGAGGAGCAGAAAAGGCCTTGACTCTGTGTAAGCCCTGCTCAGCAGTAACAAAAACATCCCTGTGTTATCAACCCTGTTTCCAGCACAAATCCAAACCAATGCCCAATACTAGCTACTATGAAGAAAAGTAACTCTACCCCAGCCAAAACCAGCACGTTCTCCACCCCTTATTCCACACAGTCCCCCCTTTATCCAATACATCCTCATTAACCACCACCCTCTTCCCATCCTTTCATGTAATACACAGATATCATTCCCTTGGTCTGCGCTGCTTCTTTTAAGTCTTGTCCTCCATTGGTTCGGGTGGTTCCTGCTATAGTAATTCCCATAACATGCAACTCATATCCCAGGTTAAAACAGTTTAAAGGTATTTCCATTACAATCTGCACCCCTGGTCCCTTTGAACCAGACCACCGGGTTTAACATTGCAATGAACTTCTCCCCTTGCCCCTGCTCCACCTTGGACTTATCCACAGCCTGCAGTCCCTCAGGGGTGTACCTGCTCCAAGTGGGGCCTTATCTCTGAGCCACAGTCTCTCCAGGGTTATACCTACTGCAGCATAAACTTACCCACAGCCACAGTCGCTTTGAGGTGCACCTGTTCCAGCATGGCCTTCTCCATGGGCCACAATGCCTTCAGAGATAGACCTGCTCCAGCATGGCCTTACCCATAGCCACAGTCCCTTCAGAAGTAATCCTGTACCAACGTGGCCTTACACATGGCTGCAGTCCCTCCAGGGGTATACCTTCTCTGTCGCGGGTTTATCCCTGGCCACACGCTTTGAGGTGCTGCAGCATGGCCTCATGCACAGCCACTGACACTTCAAGGTGTACCTGCTGCAAGCATGGACTTATCCTTGGGCCACAATCCCTTCAGAGGTTTACTTGCTGTGGCATAAGCATAACCATGGCCATAGACGCTTCGAGATGTACCTGCCTTGGCATGGGCTTTTCCATGGCCACAGAGGCTTTGGGGTGTCCTGCTCCCGCACAGACTCATCCACAGGTCACAGTCCCTTTGACTGGAGTTCACACTGGAGTTCCAGTCTGTCCAGTACAGCAGCACAGAAACAGCAGCAATACCCTGGCCCTCTGCCAGCCCAGGCACATGGCCATGGATGTTATCAAAATGTTCTCAGGCACAGCAGAGTAAGATGATAAGCAGTACGGCAGTACAGTAAGTGGCGAAAGCAAAAAGCAGCCACCAACGAGGGCTAGACTCTAATATACAGTAAGGCAAGCAAGCCCCATGGCAAGCACAGAATAGCTTGGGTGGCGTGAGAAGCAGACAAGGCCTTGACTCTGTGTAAGCCCTGCTCAGCAGTAAGAAGAACATCCCTGAATTATCAACACTGTTTCCAGCAAAAATCCAAAACATAGCCCCAAACTAGCTACTATGAAGAAAATGAACTCTACCCCAGCCAAAACCAGCACACATGCCCAGCTGAAAACTGAGGGGATGAAGGCAATGCCTCTTGTGAGCTATTTCAGAGAAAGCTCACAAGCTTTGGAGAAGCAGCAGAGCAAAACCACAGAAGAGCAGGCAAGAATAGAATGTGTATTCTGTTCATCAAGACACATCCAAAATCCAAAAATACAAAGTATTTTGCATCTTGATCCAAAATTCCAAAACTTTTGGATTCCAAAACCAAGCCCAAGAAACAACTGAATATTTATGTCAGTTGGTTCAATTGCATTCTTGTAAATCCTACAAACCACAGTCCTTGCTGTGCAGCCTGCAAGGCCTGGGTCCCCCCTCCATAATTAGGGAGGCAGCTGATCCCTTGGTGGGGAGGGTGCCTGCAGTAGGTCAGTCTTGGGAGGAGGTGCAGGAGCTGACCCACCTTACAGATGGGGACAAGTCCTCAGACAACTGAAATGGTCATTGGTGCTTCATGTACAGCTAATATCAAATGAAGGGCTGTGCAGTCATAGAATCATAGAATCATAGAATGTTTTGGGTTGGAAGGGACCCCTAGAGGTCATCTAGTCCAACCCCCCTGCAGGAGCAGGGACACCGCTAACTAGATCAGGCTGCTCAGAGCCCCGTCCAACCTGGTCTTGAATGTTTCCAGGGATGGGGCCTCCACCACTTCTCTGGGCAACCTGTTCCAGTGTTTCACCACCCTCATTGTAAAGAA